GTATGCGGAAGCTCGTGGCTTGATGTGCGGCTTGGAGCGACGTAGGGGCGACATGGGAGGATGATAAGCGTGAAAAGGCCGAAAAAAGGTGCGCATAAACTCACCCTGCTGTTTTGGACATATTTGCGGTTGTGGTTGTGTTGTTGGGGGTGTCGGGTTGGCAGGTAGTCGGGGTCCCTTATGATACAGAAAGTGAGAAGTGGCGGCGGCCGGTGGGGCAATTCAATGTGTGCGGTGCGCCGCCAAGATTTCGCGCTAATAGGTGCTGCGACTCATTACTCCCTTTCACCAGCTTCGTCCAACCATGGTACGCTCAAAAAGCTTCATTGCATCCTCGAGCAGATAGTCACCTTCTTTTCGATGAGATGGATGGCTCTTGTAGGTTGGTGAGTCATCGTCAAGTTATTTGCGCAGCTTCATGTATTGCGCCATCAGGAGTCAGTCATGAACTGAGACACTGTTCATACTTAGGTAGAGTATACTAGCAACAGTCACGGTCATCTATCTTATTTCGGTAGCTCTGGAGTCCAATTTCTGGCACGCTCATGAGTCACAGCAATAGCTTGGGCAAGTCGCATTAGTAGAACTATAATCAAGCAAAGAGCTTGTGAATTCGATGTCTTTGCGGCTTTCACTGCATCGCAAACAGCTTTCTGCTCAAGTAGCTATAGATTTGGTCTATTTGGCTAGAGGCAATGGTAGGATATCTCTACTAACTATTGTAAGCCTGCGTAGCTTTGCATTCATACTATTAAGCGATAGCAATACTAGGGCGAGATGACTGGGGATTTGTGTGCGAATGAGAGTAAGCTGGGCGCTTGCTAATCCATCTTGCTTGCTGTCCAACGTCTAGCAAGCCGCGGCAGCCCAGTGCTATGTCTATAGAAGTCTACAACTTGTCCACTAAGCACACCATCATGAACGAAGCTAAACATGCCGAAACCTTTCCTTTTGAGCGTCTACCCCTGGAGCTACAGAGACACGTCCTCACCTACGTACTTCCTCAATCCCAGAGCATAAAGTTCAGATGGGGCCCATATCCCGAAGAACCCAACTACAAACCGAAATGGATCATCGAGACGCGGCCAATAGGCGCCGTGCATCCTTGGGAGAACCATCATGAGAGGGAAAGGGACGGTAACCAGCACATCAGCAACAGGCTATCCGACTATGCCGCTTTGATACGCGTGAAGACCCTGGCACAAGAAGCGAAAGGTAAGCTACGAATCCCTGGATTGAGGCCCCAGAGTCAGAATATGAACTCTCCCCCTCCCTCTCTCCAACCCGTTCCCCACAGCCTAGTCCTTCACCCTCTAACAATATCCCTCACAAGCCCTCTTCCTCCACACCAACGAAATCACCCTCGTCATCGACTCTAGACAATACACCTCCGAACTGCACTTCGGTCCTTTCAGACTGCATCCACGCCGCCTCAACGTACACACACTGCGTGATATAGAAAACCTCCGCATCATCTTGAACATCAAATCTGGGGATAGCACGGCCGCACCGTGTAATCGGCTCCGGGCGCGCTTACAGCAGATCGTTACACAACTTACTCTTTACGCCGAGGACAAGGATCAAAAGTCTCTGTTGAAGAAACTTGAAATCAGTGTGGCGGTTGATGGTCTTGATCTTGTGGACGTCAAGGAAGTTGGGATGGAAGATGTGGATGATGGACCTCTTGGGTATCTGGGTGCGATGGACATGGCTGGGTTCATGGAGCGAGCTCCTGAAACGAATCCTTATGTGCCGCATTTTATGTTCGCGCTTGAACCGCTCGTGGGCCTTTTTCCCAGTGTGGTTGTTGAGAGTGTGAGGGTGAGGGGAGTGCCGAGCTGGTTTGCTAGGTGTCTTGAACTCTGTGTAAGGGGGCAGGGCGGTGAGCTGGTGGAGTTGGACTGGGGATATGATGTTGTGATGAGGCAGGTTGGTGTGGGTGTTGCGAGGAAGCGCCGGGTTAGTGTTACGAGGAAGATGTGGATGCAGCCGGTTTATGACTGGAGGCGGTATGCTGAGGAGAATGGGATCGAGGTTGATGATTGAGATAGGTAGACTTTGGAATGTAGGAGAGTTGCACCTATTCATGCTTGATCCATCATATCATTAACTTGATTCTCCATTCCATCACTTTCATCTCTACATACACATATACACGTACACAGCACAAACAGCCCAGATCGTCCGACAAGAGGGTCGTCGGGCCGCTGTTCCAAATCCAACCCAGAGCCAACACCTAGACCTTTTTCTAAGAGACCCTACGTAAAAAGGATCTTATATCCTCCCGTATCATGAACGCCAGCTGTTATTGTACAAGGTGGGCAGGGCCCGCAGAGTGGTGAGGAGGAGGAGGGTCATGCGCTAAGATCGACTTCGTGTAAATGCGGGACAAACGTCGAACTGGAGTGGAAAATGTGAAAAAGATTGCTGCGCCTGGTTTCGCGGTTGGGGCTCGTCAGGGTAGCGGTAGAATGGTATGTATTTGCTGTGCGCAATTTCTTGTATCTTTGCTTTAGTCGACTTGTTTTAGGTCGGGCTCGAAGAAGACTTTTCGTGTTATCTGGTGGGCTGTTAGCTTTCGTTATAGCAGAACCAAAAACTGGTTGAACATACCGCCCATCCTCCCGCTACAGTCGCGCAGATACCCGAGCTAATAGCCATCTGCCTCGTCCCTCTTGTGCTCTTGAACAGCGCGCCGCTCAATGCGCCCGCCACGACGCTGTTGCTCATATCGTGCTTGCCGCGGTAGTACCCAATGGTGCTGTTCATACCATTATACACCATAGCAATCACGCCCGCGCTGTTCCCCAGAAAAGGACCTCGCCGTGTTATCGCATTGAGCACGCCGTTGATGCGCAACCGCGGGGGCATGCTGGGTGGGTTCTTTTGCAGGCCCTCGGCTAGTCCCCACGCTCCTCCTATCGTCAGCGCCGTCAGATACGACACGCCCGTGCCGTAACATAAGTCGTCGGACCAGCCGCGTGAGGGCAGAGCGGATTGTGCGCCGGGCAGGTCCGAGAGGACGCTGTCTTCGAGGTTTAGGTAGTCGAGTGTGTCTTGGTTGAGGCCGGCGAGGGGATGCAGTTGTGAGGGGTCGAGCAGGAATTCTGAGGGGTTTTGGATGGCTGTGTTGGGGTCGAAGGGTGTGGGTTGGAAGCTGTCTTCTTTTACGAAGTCGCCATTTTGGGGCGAGGCGGGCGCGGGTGCCGTGTCCTTGGACTTGCGTCCGGTTATTGAGTCCCAGCTAGCATTGAATTAGCATTGATGTGACTGAGAATACACAGGATATTAGAGTTTATACATACATGGTCATGTCGAAGATGTCAGGTTGTGATGGCGGCGTAAAGAAATGTTGCGCCTGATTGTCAACAGCCGCACGAACAAAATCCCCCAGACGCCCGAAAAACCTCTATCAGACCGACGCAGCTAAGAGAAACAGCAGAAAGAGGCAGGTGGCAGATGCGCGGGTATGGGATAGCGTGGGGCGGGCGTTCGTGATGCTCACGAAAAGTTCTGGCGAAGCAACTTGGGCAATGACGGTCTCAGTGCACGGCCCACCTTCTCGAAGCCTCCCTGCTTCCGAGCTCGGAAAGGAACGAGATCGGAAAGAAAAGTTCAGACAGCCTCACCCACTTCGGGATAACGACAAACAACAACAGATCCAACCATGGCGCTCCCCGAGTACAAGCAAAACTTCCTCAAAGACTGTGTCTCAGCCGGCGCATTGAAATTCGGCACCTTCACCCTCAAGTCCAAGCGCATATCACCCTACTTCTTCAATGCCGGCCTCTTCCACCGCGCCGACCTGCTCCGCTCCATCTCCTCAGCCTACGCACACACACTGAAGAGCCACGGAGACTCCGACCCTTCGTTCCAATGGGACATCCTCTTCGGTCCAGCCTACAAGGGCATTCCCCTCGCAGCAGCCTCAGTCGACAAGCTCGCAGATCTGGACATGGCCAAGTACGGACAGAAGAGCTACAGTTTCAACCGCAAGGAAGCGAAAGATCATGGTGAGGGCGGCAACATCGTGGGCGCCAGTCTGAAGGGGAAGAAGATTGTTATTGTGGATGATGTCATTACGGCTGGTACGGCGATTAGAGAGGCTATTGATATCATTAAGAGGGAGGGGGGTGAGCTTGTGGGCATCATCGTTGCTTTCGATAGGCGGGAGAAGATGCCTACGGCGACTGATGACGATGGAAAGCCGGGTCCCAGTGCGATTGGAGAGGTTAGGAAACAGTATGGGATTCCTGTGCTCGCTATCTTGACGCTGGATGATGTTGTGGAGTATTTGAGGAGTTTGGGTGGAGAGGAGGATCTCAAGAGGTTGGATGAGTATCGGGAGAAGTACAAGGCGAGTGATTAGGCGTATCTGGTGGGGCGTTTACGAAGTTATGATTATGAGAATATGGGTGATGGGTGATGGGCGGTTGCTAGAATACCCCGCATGCGTTGCGGACAATGCTGCAAGCATTTCAAGCCCACATGTTCTTCTTGACTCCGTGAGACTGTAAGGCGATCCTCATGACAATAAACGGCTGTGTCATCGGGGTGAGATGTTACATCAAAGAAGACACACTGATTATTGTTATACTTCTATGGTACATTTACAGAATTATACACGCGTTCAACAAAGAGTGGGTATCTTATGTCATTGCTCCTGGCCAAACGAACAAGATGCATAGTCACCTCGATGCATATCTGGAACCAATTCGAGAGATCTGACGGGCAAGAATCGTCTGAATCCGAACCGTCTGAATCAGAAGAGCACTCCATAACAAGATCAAGCTGGACAGCTGGCCTGAACTTGACGCGCCTGCTTCGCGTAATTCATCTCTTTGATGGTTGGTCATCGTTCTTACGTTTTCCTTCCCGAGAACTGCGTCCACCAGCTTCCTCGTCCTGGATTCATCGTCGCTGGGATCGTCTTCGCTAGGGTCGTCTGCGCTTGAGTCGTCTTCGCTGGGGTCGTCTTCGCCAGCATCGTCTTCACTAGCTTAGTCTTGACTAGCATCATCTTCGCTATCATCTTCGCTACCATCTTCGCTATCGCCATAATCTGATTCAGGATAGAAGCCGGGCGGAGTGTTGAGCGCAGGATGATCATAATCCTCGGGGTCATAATCTGGCTCATTCTCGCAAAGGTAATGGCGTTCCGAAAATGCGATCAACGGACTCTAAACACCGGGTAAAGCATTAGCTACCGACTTGCGTTTTCAAGGGTTGGTCGCATGGTTCGAGGACTCATGGATAGGTCAGCATCTGGAGGTCAAAAAAGCACTTACCTCGCGACCCTCTTTGTAAATCAAGTCATCCAGACTGTCCAGATACTCTCTCGCTTCTTGCCTCCACTTATCACTTCCACTCGTATCTCTGAGCACGTCGGCGAGCTTAAACTCTATCTCGCAGTATTCCAGATTCGGATGCATCCATTGGAAATGCAAAAACCCTCCTTCGCGGTCATATGCTTGGACAACAGGTCTCAGGAGTTCGATCCACGGGACCCACAAGTTTAATTTGACCTCCTCTTGAACAAATTCGATCTCGAGAGAGAAATCTTTCTTCTTCTTGATGCTCATCAGGACCTTGACAAGCGTCTCGGCCTGTGCAGGGTCGTCTATTGCATTGTCTGGTAGACGAACATACAGTGACCGCAACACATCTGCGGGGATAAGTCCAACGTCCCAAATATCGTGACAAACGAGTCGTTCCAATAGGGGTATGGTGATCCAATCAACTAGGCCATTGCCATCGACGTCAGGATAGCTGGTAAAATGTTCTAGTCGCTGATACCACTTCGCCATGACTTCGTGAGCTATTTCCAAACCCATGAAGCGGCTCTGAATGAAGTGCGGCAACTCTGGTACTTTGTCTGGTACTCTGGTAATGAAGGGCAAATATGGGTCTATGGTGTTCCGAGGGCGGAGACGGTCTTGCATGGAATCTATATGAGCATCCAATGTTTTCCTGTCCCACATATAGTCGTATATCATCTCTCTCAGTTCGGTCGGTAGACGGGTCTCTATCTCACGGGCGAATTGGAGATTCCATAATTCGCTGTATTTCGTGACAGCAGCCGGCCATTCTCTAAAGCGAACTCGGTGATTAGTCTACGCCGTTTTATTTCGTACATCGAGAGAAACTCACTCTCTGAGGATTTTCGTTTGCTGTTTCGCGGTACGCTTCCTTGGGGCCTGAAGTTTGCTGCGAATGCTGTACGTATGTCAGTCTCCGCGGTTTCCTTTACGTAGGTGGTCTTACTCCACGAGGCTCTGATACGCGGCCTGGACATCGTCCTGCTGCACCGGCGTGGAATTGGCAGAATGAATAGGGGGCGCCTTTGGCTTAGACTTCGGTTTGGTCTTTCGGGCCATAGCTGGCAACCAAAGAGATGGAAATCGAAAAGTTGACGTCTCTATGCGTACTGCGCGAATCCGCGGGAGTGTTTGGGTGTAGAGGTGTGAGCGTCACAAAGTTGGCGAGGGGATGCACGACGCGTCTCTAGCGCGTCTCAAAACGATTAAACACGCGTGTCCCTTGCTTCCCCATGCCAAGCAGCCCACTTGTGGCGAGCGGAGCGCAGCCGGCAGCAACGTGCAGACATTCTTTGCGCACACACCGACACTACTTCGTGCTCTATACAGAGGTCAGCCTAGCAAAGGTGGTAGAATAACGGCACTCGCGGGCTACAGACCATTTCCAGTCGGCGGCACAGTGCAGATGTAGGGCCGCATGTGCTGGAAACCCCGAGGCAAGGCAGAGAGCTGCCACAGAGATAAGTATAGCGAAGGTGGTACGCAGTGGAGCAATCAAAATGTGCCTGACTGCGGCACAGAAACGCTGTGCTAGGTGTGTATGTCGAACCAATGAGTGTCGGTTCCCACCGTAGCGCGCACCCCAGGGGGGTTAAAAGGGCTAAGATAGCAATATTAATTAACAAGAGGCTGTTAGGGGCCTATTATCTAAAGTTTAGCTAACAAAGGTCTATTATTACTAACATTAAAACATAAGATAATAATAATAAATAACATTAAATATTAAAGAAGACACTTATATAGTAGCTATTGCAGAGAATAAAGGTTACTTCTAACTACCTTTTCTCTTCTTCTAATAATACTTACTAAAGTTATCTATGTAGGCTACTATAGATAGGTAAATATTTTGCGTCTAGCACTATAAGTACACTTAGAAGGTGCAGCGCGCTAATATATATATAGAGGTCTATTTGCAGCTACTTCTAACTACTCTACCTATTATTACTAATAGTAGTAGTAGTAGTACTGTTACTGCCTTCCTGTGTTAAGATAGAAGAAACTACCTCTTTTAATAGGCTTAAAATTTAATATTAATTACTTCTAACAGCACTTACCTATAATACAACATTAGAGAGCTATTAGAGGTTAAGTGCTATCTTAGAAATATCGCATTTTATTACCCTATTGTAGCCCTATTAACCCCCCTACAGTGCGCGTGACGGCATGCTTACGAGTACTATTGACTGCCACCGAGAAGCACCAACCTTCGCCATTCGCTCATCACACGTAGAGGCACGGGAGCAGAGTCTGGTTTCGTTCAGTGGAGTAGTTTTGGTAGTCGCGATGCAGTCGAAGCTTGTTTGACTCCCATGCGCACACGAACGCTATCAGAACGCTCATTCAGGACGCCTAATTGATAATGTTCATCTCGCTATACATCTTTCAATGCAATTTGCATTCGGGTGAGAATCTATAAAATTCAGAGGAGTTTTTTAGGCCGCCAAATCGTAACAAGAAAGCGAGATTCAACGGCATGCCCGGGGGTGCTCTCCTTTCTCCCTTGTTCTCTTTCCTGCATTCTACTCATTAATTGAACAACACATATACCACCGCAAATTCGACGTGCATCACCTCCGGGATACACTACTGTGCCCCTCAGCAGAGGCCATCCTAAACTCAATCACTCAGACTATATAGCTCACCGTGTTCTAATAGTCCGCGAAGATAGGGCACGTGGGCAAGTAGCAGGTTGCTGTCGATCCCGGTTGGATGTTTCTATACCTCGGCGATCGATGAGCAGATATGATGAATGAGTTCTAAGCGACCTGCCGTAATTAGTCACTGTCGACATGGTTTGCCCTTCCTCAATAATTTCGATTACGGGGGAGATTATGGGAGTACTTTGGCGATCGCAGCCGATCTGACATTGTAACTTCGGGATACAGTGGCTCGGAGATGCTTACTTGATTCGTCCCGGCTCAGACGGTCGGGAAAACCGACTGCTGATGATTACGCCCTGTGGACCATTTCGGTATCGATTGCATAAACCCTCAAAGGTAGTAAGCCGTCCGTCCCCTCCGCATCAACTCCTCATGCATACCTTCCAAGGTTCCCTTGTAGATCTTATGCGTGCCACTCTATTTTCGATGTAACGGACCTACATACCTACAAGGATATTGCCTAATTACAGAGCTAGAAACAAGGTCAGAAGGACTCTTATTGCGGGAGCAATAAGCGTTCTGCAACATGGAGTACATTGCCTGACTATGGTACGTCCCGTTCCGCCCCGTTACGCCCAGTGACATCCCGCCTGCGCATGTTCGTAAAGCGGCGCAGAGCCCTGGAGGTAGCATCGAGTAGAACAGCGTCGCAATAGACTTCTAAGGTTGTCAGAGCGCTTGTGATGGGCAGGCCATCGCCGGATATAATTCAGGTACGTGGAAAGCTAGCCGACATACCGTGGCAAACAAGGCTGTACTGTGCAGATGGTAGTTGCACCAAACGAGGCTGCATATGCTTATGACGTCCTGAGGGCAGTACACGTGCGCTTGGGGTACTGGATAAATGGAGGTGCTTCACGGACCCACAGCGGGGGCGGGAATACTAGGAACATGCGGCGCAGCGACAAGCACTGTGACACTGCGTCAAGCTTTCCCAGGTTGGTTGTTGGCACTGTACGCGAGCAAGTATTGGGCTGGCATTAAGCGACTCACGACTTAGGTACCGCGCTCCGGTACGATAAAGGCTAAAAAAAAAAGACGGAAATCGAGAATCAGTTCCCCGTCAGGGTCGCAGCTACAGCTTCCCGCTTCTTGTCGTCTACCTCCAGATCCCAGAGCCTTTCGACAGTGAGTTTTGGCATCCACGATCTCGGAATGTCTGATTCGTGGTCGCCCGGCAGAAGTGATTACCCACGGGGATGGATCCCGCATCACCCGGCCGGCATCCTCGTTTGTACGTATGATCAGCACTAGTGGCGTGATCACAATCCGTCACTCAAAATGGAACGAATAATTGTGGAGATACTATCAAGGTACTGCATCCTTCCATTGTATACGGGCTGCAAGCCTTTCACTATCCGACTAATGAAAGCTTGCCGCCAAACAGCCCCCAAAAAGGTGTTAGCGAGTAAAAGCGTAAATGCCAACGTTGAACTGGGTCTTACCAGGCACTGGTAACAGTATATTGGGAGGTAATGGGGCCGGCGATTGCAATCTTGATCACTCTGGGAATTCTTATGGACAACGAACGATCTTTTCCTTTTAATTGAACGTTACACATGGTCTTTTACTCAGTGTTTGGAGTTTCCAGTGATGTATCACATCAGGTGTGTTTAAACCCCCTCTTTGTCCTCCGCTCAGAGAATACAAAGACAGCGTTACCTGCCAGAACATCAAGAAGAAACTGCAATTCGTGGCGGCGAATAAGATTGGAAAACGAGTGTGGTATTATAGTAGATTATGAGCATAGAAGGGATGCTGCCTTCAAAATGAGCGTCACTGATAACGAGTCGACTTCGCTACCGTCTTGGTCATAGGTTTCACATCGCACACTGGCGACCGCCACTCCTTATCCACCTTCTATTTGCATTCCAAAGTGCTGCTATCGCCGTTCTTCTTGCAGGCTGCAAATTTCGGTCAACAATCTAGATAACATGTTGTACGCGTTTCGGAAGCATCACTTACTGGCAGTCACAACATAACCCTCCTTGTAGAACTTGCAAGAATCACCGACCCGGTGTCGGCAATTGTTGGGGCAGTTGCATGCGCTGATAGCGTTTGGGGCGATCTGGACGGCCCTGGCTGTGTTATCGGTAGCCACTTCATTGCTGGTCATGACTGAAGGGGCAGCGACGGCCTGTGCGGCAAAGAGTGCCACGGTGGTGGTAGCAAGAAGGGTCTTGAAGAACATGTTGAATTGACTGATGATGGCACTGAGAAGTTTGGGTCCTGCTGTTGATGGTGGGATAGATGGTTAGAGTAGTGATGTTTGCGATATGAAATTCTGAGAGAGACGTACGCCTTTTATGTCCTTTCCATGTCCAACTACCACATGCTTTCCCAAATCCTGAGATGCAGTCGGCTGCACGTTCTCACATCAGAAGCTGTGTATTTATGGTTCGTCTGTTGGCGGAAGGACTGGTAAAAATACAATTACGCCCGGCTCGTCTGCACTCGCATGTCGATTCTTCGTGTTGATCGTGATCGCGAGGTCGTCTTGATCCTTCGATGTGATCCTTTGAGCATCATACATTGCTCTGGGCGCGGAGGTACGTGTTCCACACTTACCTAGGAAACAGCACCGCCTGTGATGACCGAGATCCCTACTTGGCGACAGCATCGTCTTCGTAACCATCTCATTTCTTGTGGGGGCTCAAGCTTCACAACAATCCTGGTGTTAGGTACTGTACCACATCTTATAGCCGCCGGAACGAATCGTGATAAGCAAAGATCTTCGGTACCCATGTACAACCCAATGATGCGAAGTCCGCATGTTCCAATAGATACCGGGATCTCTTGACTTACAAACGTCGATCCGTTCCCGGATACATGCATACCGCAGCCCGAGTTGTCTTACATGCACTGGACTTGCAGGGAGGTATTTGTTCGCTGATCCTCTTCATACTTGAACGGATTACGCTCCGCAGGTTATGTGTTCTGTAGCTCCGCACAACAGCAAAGACAAATTCTACATCAGCCTAAGCGATACATAGAGCAATATCAACTCGCTTACTGGAATAACTCAGGTGACCAATAGTCGGCCTCAAGGTCTAAGGACCCTAGTCCGACGTCGAATATCCAACGGCTCAACACTCTGATCCTTTGGACTTGCTACACGTCCATTCTGGATAGAATTGTCCTTCCTACTATACCTGTCTTGGCATAATGAGCTCGCTCAGCACAGCAAACACGCCAGTAACAGCGAGCTTCGGTAATGAGGCAAATGGGGAAATGAGATGGCACTCTTCGAGTACATCTAGCGAAGAGAGCCTAATTCCAGTTACGCCATCTCTCTATGAACGATGGAGGACCTGGGGCGTTCGGGTGCCCTGGCGCATACTACCACTATCAAGGCTGAAGACTTCCAAGGATCCACAAAGAACGAAGAGATGGCAACCA